TGAGGCGCATGGGCGTGCAGAAGGGATGGATGGAATGATTGATGAGAAACCGGCTGCTGATTACAGTGGGCGTGGGCTTGAGGAGAAGAGTTTTGGGGAAGAGAAGGAGCAAAGGGGGGAGGGTCGAGACCTGGTGGTGGGGAGTGTGGTGGGAGGAGGGGAGGTGAAAAAGGAGGAGCAAGTGGTGGAGGGTTGTGGTCTGCTGGTGGGGAGTGTGGTGGGAGGAGGGGAGCTGACGAAGGAGGAGCAAGTGGGGGAGGGTTGTGATCTGCTGGTGGAAAGTGTGGTGGGAGGAGGGGAGGTGGGAGGAGGGGAGGTGGGAGAGGAGGGCTGTGCTAGGGGAAGGGGCACGAGCGTGGGTGGAGCTAAGAGGAAGAGAGATGGAGATACGGGAGGAGAAGGACGGGAAGGTGGAGGAAAGGGAGAGGGGGAAGCGGAAGGAAGTCAGGAACAGGTTGAAAAGGTTTTAGATATGGGGAAGGAGAGGAGGAATGGGAAGGATGAGAAGGATGAGAAGGATGAGAAGATTGGGAAGGTTGGGAAGGGAGGGGGGGAGGAAATGGACGGGAAAGAGGGGAAGGGAGGGAAGGATGGTGTAAGCACGGGCGGTTCTGCTGGCAGTGGTGATTCAGGCAGCGCCTCTGGGCAACGGAAGGGCAAGAAGACTTTTATGGTGCTCCGCACTGCGATGGCTGAAGGGGGTTCAGTTGAAAGGAAGGATGGGAAGGATGGTGTTAGCATAGGTGGTTCTGCTGGCAGTGGTGGTTCGGGCAGCGGCTCAGGGCATCGGAAGGGCAAGAAGACTGTTATGGTGGTCCGCGATTTGCATGTCATCTGCACGAAGGAAGAGGCCGCTCAGATTCGACTGCAGTTGGAACAGGCTCAGCAGGGGCAGCAGGGGCAGCAGCAGGGGCAGCAGGGGCAGCAGCAGGGGCAGCAGGGGCAGCAGCAGGGGCAGCAGGGGCAGCAGCAGGGGCAGCAGGGGCAGGGGCAGGGGCAGGAGCAGCAGGTGCAGGGGCAGGGGCAGCAGGGGCAGCAGGGGCAGCAGCAGCAAAGAGTGATTAGAGGTGTGGAGGAGGGAAGCAAAGGAGGAGCAACAGCTTCTAGGGGGGTGGTTGTTGCTCTAAGAGCAAGAGGGAGTGGTTCAAACGATTCTGCAGCATCATTAGGGAGAGGTGGCGTGATGGAGGAGGGAGGTAGAGGAGAAGCATCAGCTTCTGGAGGGTTTGTTGTTGCCACACGAGCACGAGCAAAGGGTTCAAGTGATTCAGCAGCAGCATCCTCTGGGAGAGATGGTGTGGTGGAGAGTAGGAGGGCCACACGTGGGACTGTAGAGAGGGAGAAGCGGGGTAGTGTGAGTAGCAGTGTGACAGTAAAGGGTGCTGGTGTGAGTACGAGGGGTGGTACTACTCCTGGGGGGGGAAAGACTGCTGTTGGGAAGAGTGGTGCTGGTGCTAAGGGTGCTGCTGCTAAGACTGCCGGTGCTAAGAGTGCTGGTACTGCTAAAGCTGTGGAAGCAGAGGTGATTGAACTGCTCTCAGATTCAGATGAAGAGGAGGTGGAGGAGAAGGGTGGTGGTGATGCTGGTGGTGCTGCTGGTGGTGCTGCTAGTGGTGGTGGTAGTGGTGGTGCTGGTGGTGCTGGTAATGGTGGTGGTGGTGGTGGTGGTGCTGCTGCTGCTGCTGCTGCTGCTGCTGCTGCTGCTGCTGCTGCTGCTGCTGCTGCTGCTGCTGCTGCTGCTGCTGCTGCTGCTGCTGCTTCTGCTGGTGGAGGTGCTTCCGCTGGTGGAGGTACTTCTGCTGGTGGAGCTTCAGGTGTACCCGTTGCACCTGAACTGCCGTCGTCAAGTGTTACAAGGTGATTCCCGTCTCTGATGCTGTTTGAGTCAGCGCAGATGCATTACAGAATGCATAGATGTTGTCGTCTCTTTGCGTGGATTCTTATTCGTGTCAGCATCCCAGCTCCCGTTTCCTTCATGTTTTACAGCAGTCAATTTCCCCGCTGTCCCTTATATCCATTCGTTTTTCCGTTACTCCCTGCTTCGCTGTCTCCTCTTCTTGTCTTCATTTTGCCTCGTCTTTGTCTCCTCTTTAGAGCAGAGGGAGGGCAGCGGGCAGTGCAAGAGGGCATGTGCCACATGCTGTCCCAAACCTTCCTTCTTTCCTCCTGTTCTCTCTCCCTTCTTCCCTGCCTTTTGTCTTCGTTTCATCTCCTCGTTGTCTCCTCTTTAGAGCAGAGGGAGCGCAGCGGGCAGTGCAAGAGGGCATGTGCCACCTGCTGTCCCAAACGCAGCAGAAGCAACGCCATCACCAGCAGCAGGGGGAGCAGCACCACCAGCGGCAGAAGCTGCAGCAAGGTCAGCAGCAGCAGTTACAGCGTCGGCAGTGGCAACAGAGGCAGGGTTTAAGGCAGCGTGGGCAGGACTATTTGGATCGCCGCAAGCAGCAAGAGCAGTGGGTTCTGCCGTGGCAGCAATCCCAGCAACGGCAGCACAAGCAGCACAAACTTCAGCACAAGCAGCAGCAGTGTCAGCTAAAGCACCAGCAGCACCGTCAGCAGCAGCCGCAGCAGCAGCTGCCCCAGAAGCAGCAGAGACGGCAGCAATGGCAGCGACAGGCAGGGCAGCAGCAGGAGGGACGAGGGCAGCAGGCAGTGTCAAGGCGATTCAAGCAACGACTCGCTTAGCCTTGCCAGCAGATGTTGTTGCAACAGGAGCAGCAGGAGCAGAAGCAGGAGTGGCAGCGGCAGGAGCAGCACCAAGAGCAACTACAGCCGCAACGGGATCAGCACCGAAAGCAACAACAGAAAAAGCAACAACAGCAGCAATTGGCACAGCACCAAGAGGAGCTGCTGCAACAACAACAGGAGCAGCACCAAGAGCAACAGCAGCAGCAACGGGAGCAGCAACGAAAGCAACAACAGCGACAACAACAGCAGCAGGAAGAGCAACAGCAGCAACAACAACAGCAGGAGCCGCACCAAAAGCAACAGCAACAGCAGCAGCACCACAAGGAACAGCAGCAGCAGCACCAAGAGCAACAGCTGCAGCAGCACCAAGAGCAACAGCATCAGCAGCAGCACCAAGAGCAACAGCATCAGCAGCAGCACCAAGAGCAACAGCATCAGCAGCAGGAGGAGGGGGAGGAGGCAACTCTGTGAAGCTGCACATCATTCCCCCTCGCCGCCCAGCCACTACCAAGGCTGCCAGCACATCTCACTCTAACACTCACCACACTCACCCCACTCACCACACTCACTCGCACCTCACAGCAAAGCAGCTCGTTCGCCCTGCCTCTAAAGGCGCGTCTCACTCTAACGCTCACCACACCCACTCGCACCTCGTTCCTAACCAGCCTGCTCGTCCTGCTCCTACTGGGAATCCCGCTCCCGCTCTCAACCCCGCTCTAAAGAATGCCGTGGTTTCCTCTCCTCTCTCATCCATCGCCTCGTCTGTCCCTTCCTCTACCCCCTCGTCTGTCCCTTCCTCTACCCCCTCGTCTCTTACCTCTGCCACGCACTCAGTGGCTGCACTCTTACCGCCTGTTGGCTCTAAACAAGTCCTCACTTCGACCTCACTTCCTGCAGCTGCCCCTGAGAATTCTCAGAAGTGACTCTTTTCCCCTGACACCAGGTGTCTACACCAGGGCATCACCCCCTGGTGTCTGCAATTGTCTATCCCCTCAGCCACTCGCTCAGTAGCCGCATCCATACTGCCTGTGAGCTCCAAACAAGTCCTTACTTTTCCGGCTGCTGCTCCTGCTGCCCTTAAAGGCCCTGTTGCCACTGTCCCTCCTTTTCCTGCTTCTACTGCTGCTGCTGCTGCTACTGCTGCTGCCCATAATGCACCCTCTCTTCCTCTTCCTCCTCCTGCTGCTGCTGCTGCACCCTGGAAAGCCATGCCTTCTGCCACTGCCCCTACTGCTGCTTTTCCTCCCTGATTTGCTTTTTTCATTGCATGATGTTAGGTCCTTCACCCCCTTTCGGCCTTCCTGACCCTCCCCCTCACTACAGTGTTCATATCTTTCCATCCTAATAACAGATGCGTTCAGCCAGTGTCCTGGAATCACACATACCATATAACGAATGCCTTACTGGTTGCTGCTTGTGTTACCGTATGTTGTGGTGAACCTTTGATCTAATAATCTGTACCATAATATAAGGACCCGAGGAATTGTGTACCATCACACACACACGGAACAGCACACTTTTGTAATAGGGCAGCATTGCATCGTAACAGTGTGATCCGCTTGCCTCTCCTTCAGAATCCGCTTGCCACTCGACCAATCACAGCAGCAGGGAGGGAACCCCTCGCAGTGCGGAGCAAGCAAGCACTGTGTAGCCGTGGCTTGGAGGCCACTTCTTGTCAAATAGTACATACTTTATGCATCCTTACTGGCTGCAGTCTAATGTAACAGAGGCGTAGGTTTGAGACGTCCCAAAACTTGGGAACACTTCTTGTCAAAAAGGCCATACCAAACTTTATGCAGTCTTTTACTGGCTGTAGGCTATTGTAACAGACGCATCCCCACTTGCCTCTTCTGTTGATGACGAAATTACCCGACCAATCACAGCAGCAGCAGGGTACCCCTCTCTGTGCAGAGCTAGCAAGCACTGAGTGGCCGTGGTTTGGGGGACAGAAAGGAGCAGCCCTCCAGCTGTTTGCGGGTCGAAGAGGAGCGGAGTGAGCGGATGGGTGGATGCCTGGACAAGGTAGAGGGAGGAGGAGGGAGGGAGAGTGGGGAAGGTGAAGGGGAAAGTGGAGCGAAGGATTTGGGGTTTCAGAGCCAGCAAGCAGTGAGTGGGCAGTGGCTTGGGGGATGGAAAGGAACAGCCCTTCGGCTGTTTGCGGGTCGAAGAGGAGAGGAGTGCGGGGATGGGCGGATGCCTGGACACCATGGTGGGGATGGGGGAGAGAAGCGAGAAATTCATGAGGTGCTGCATAGATGGCAAGCATTGAGCAGATAGCAATGTCACGATTCAAAGCCATGCGTGGCCGTGGCTTAGGGATGGAAAGAAAAGAGCAGCCCTCCGGCTGTTTGCGGGTCGAAGAGGAGCAGAGTGAGCAGATGGGCGGATGCCTGAACAGAGAGGAGGGAAGGAGGGTGGGGTGAGGGAGGGAGTTTTGGGGAGGGCAAGGGTGAAGGAGGGGGTGGGTCTATGGTATGTGGCTTACGAAACTCACTAGTCGATTCATCTCATCTCATCCCCACATCCTAGCATTCTGTCCTCTCCCTCACCTCCTCGTAGTTGGTGATTGCTCGTCTCAGGCGCAGGTTCGAATCCTGCAGCGAGCTGAAAATGCCATCCTCCACACACTGCCGTGCACCGTCCTAGAGAGAGAAGGGGATGGGTGAGGTTGAGGAAAAGGTGGAGATGTTTCAAGCTCAGAATAAAATTACTGAAGTGAGCTAACCTTGCATGCCTTACATGCATGTCAAAGTGCCATTGTTGAGAGGAAGGGAGGGCTCAGGGAAGGAAACAAAAAAAGCCTTCGAATCCTGCATTTTGCTGAAAACGCCTTCTTGAAAAGCATTCTATTACAAAACATGGACGATCACTACAGTTGGTTACGAGGTGTGCAAGTGGTTACCATAATGGGGATTGTAGAGGGGTCGATTGTTACAGTAACTCGAGATGCTGTTGTCATTTCCACCAGGTGGCCTGTAGACGGCATGGGAAGGCATACAAGGAAGGCATGAAGGGCCGAATTGAATTAATGGGGATTGTAGAGGGACCGATGGTGACAGTAACTCGAGATGCTGGGGCCATTTCCACTTGTTGATGCATACGCACGGCATTGGAGAAGCATGGCACACACGCAGGCCAAGCCATGGGTTGTTGTATGTGCATAGGCAAGGCATGTCACATACACACATCGCAATATGCACATGGTAAGACATGGCATTGCATGGCATGGCATGGTACGTAGTATCAAGACCTCTCAAAACGTACTGGTCCGGCTAAACTCACCAAGTAAGCCAAACCCCGTGACATCAGTAGCAGCCAAGGCCCCATGTTGCAATGCAATGGACGCTGCTTTCTGGTGGCGAAGAGGGGAAGGAAGGTGAGGGAAGGGGGGATGATGGGTTGCAAGGGAAGGGAAGGGAATGGGAGAGGAGAGGGGCAATAGGGTAGTAATGATGGTGGCAGCAAGAGTTCCATGTTGCCATGTAATTGAATGGCTGTTCCCCTGCTGGTTTCGAAGCTTGAACAGGAATGAGGGAAGGAACGTTTCAGCCCTTAAGTCACCTGAATCTACACCAGTTGCGAGGCATCACACTACTTGACACATCACGCCTTCCCCCGACTCACCTGATTAGACACCAGCATGCTATGGATCACCCCATCCACCCACCGTCCCTGAGCGGCATGGCAGGACGATGCCAGGAGTGGGCTACTTGCTTCAGCAATGCTACTTGCTGATATGTTGAACTAACAGGGCCAACGTTTCTTCCCTTGATGACTCACCTGATTAGGCACCAGCATGCTATGGATCACCCCATCCACCCACCGTCCCTGATGGTTGTGGGAGGACGATGCCGAGGGAGGCCTACTTGTTTCAGCAGTGTTACTTGCCGATATTGTTGAATGAATCGGGGGATTCTTCCCTTGCCTGGACTCACCTGATTAGACACCAGCATGCTATCGATCGCCCCATCCACCCACCGTCCCTGATGGGTGTGGGAGGATAGCACAAGGGAGGGGGGGTTAGGCAGAGGAAGACGGATAGAGGTCAGGAGGTAACGCTTGAGTACAAAGAGGGGGCACTGGCAGATGGATAGAGGTAATTAGGAAATCCCACCACCATATTCAAGGAAAAGAGCTGGGCTAAAGTAGGCCTAGGTCTATTGGGTGGTAAATTCGACCAGAGAGCTGTCGGAACTACTTCTGCGCTGGGATAAAGAGGCGCCTAAAAAATCATCTCATATGAGAGGAATCTCATATGGTGGAAATATGGCCAGACAGCTGTTGGAGTCTTGATGAAAGGTTTTGTTCTTTGAGTAAGTTTTTGGCTGAGAAGAGTGTTGATTGTGACCCCGAGGCCCTATGCCTATGACCCGAGCTTTTAGCTCACCATTCCACTGTCCCACCTTGGCCTTGCATCGCATGTTGGCTGCAAAGATGACTCCCGTGCCGATGGGCTTGGTGAGAATGATGGCATCTCCCTCATGCATGCCCGCCTGCATGGGACACGAGGTGCGCACACAAGGCATCCCAGAGACAGGTATGGGAAGGAGATGTAGGTGTGACAAGTGTGACTCCTGTGCTGATGGGCTTGGTGAGAATGATGGCATCTCGCTCACACATGCCCGCCTGTGTGTGTGCATGGGGTGAGAGAGGAACGCACACAGGACAGTCCAGGGAGGGAGGTATGGGACGGAGATGCTGCTGTGACAAGTGCGGTGTGACTCCTGTGCGGTGTGACTCCTGTGCGGTGTGACTCCTGTGCGGTGTGACAAGTGGGTGAGGATGATGGCAGGATTATGTTTCAGAAATTAACAATAGTTACTCATGTACCTTTCTCAGCAGCCGGTCTCTGTCAGCCAATCCCGTGACAGCAAACCCCAGCGACAGCTCAGCACCCTCCACAGTGTGCCCTCCCACCAGCTGACACGTGGCAGCATCCAATTCGCGGATGGCCCCTGCCATGACCTGGAAAAGCTCCTCCTCCATCTGATGAGAGTGGAAAGGAGAAGTGGGGGAGTGGGAGTGAAGGGGGAGATGGATGAGTCGGACAAGGAAGGGGGAGAAGTGGAGGGAAGGGGGAGGGAGAAGGGAGAGCAAAAGGGGCGCTTTTGATTCGCAGATGGCCCCTGGCATGAGCTGGAAAATCTCCTCCTCCATCTGATGAGAGTGGGAGGGGGAGACATGGGAGATGGGAAGAGACGAAAATGGGAGAGCGAGGGGGAAGGCACCCATGGCGAAGCAGTCACCGAGAGCGTGGAGGACGGCAAGCAATGTGACAGTAACGGGGGTCTCACCTTCTCCTCGGTACCATAGGGCAGTGTGACTATAGCGAGCGCTGAGACGGGGTCAGCACCCATGGCGAAGCAGTCACTGAGAGCATGTAGGGCGGCAATGCGGCCGAAGGTGTGCGGATCGGAGAGGAAGGAGCGGAAGAAGTCGACCGTTTGCACCAACACTGGGCTCTGGTGGGAGAGCGAGGGAGAGATGAAAGAAAAAGGGGAAGCATGCAATTTGTGAGAGCGTGGAGAGCAGCGATTCGACCAAAGGTGTGCGGATCGGAGAGGAAGGAGCGGAAGAAGTCGACCGTTTGCACCACCACTGGGTTCTGGTTGCTCAGACAGGGGGAGAAGGGAGACAGAGGGAAAGCATATGGCTTGTTGTGGCAGGGAGGGCGGCAGTGGCAGGTATGTGGGCACAGGTGTGCGGATCGGAGAGGAAGGAGCGGAAGAAGTCGACCGTGTTGCACCAACACTGGGCTCTGGTTGCTCAGACAGGGGGAGAAGGGAGGTGGGGAACAAACATGAAGCATGTGAGAACATGGAGGGCGGCAATCCGACCAAAGGTGTGTGGGTCGGAGAGGAAGGAGCGGGTCGGAGAGGAAGGAGCGGGTCGGAGAGGAAGTCAACTGATTGCACCACTACTGGGTTCTCATTGGCCCCCGCCCTGCCCTCACAGCTGTGTGGCCAATGAGAAGACAACCACATGCAGACGAATTGTCAGGTGTGAGGCCAGGTGATTCCATCAATTCAGCCCTGAAGAATTTCCGGATGCGTACCTGACTAACGCCGACCGTGCTGTCAGGTGTTATCGCCAGCACAGCAGCATCGTCAGGTGAATTTGCATACCTGACAGCCAGCCTTGCTCTCAGGTGGAATCACCCACCACGGCAGCATCAGGTGATTAGCCAGGAGAAATTCCACATGCGCACCTGTCTGCCGCCCGTGCTGTCAGGTGGAATTGCCAGCACAGCGGCGTCGTCAGGTGAGTCGAGCCCCAGGAGGTTTTCCAGATGCATACCTGACAGCCGCCCTTTCCCTCAGGTGGAATCGCCAGCACAGCGGCATCGTCAGGTGAGTCAAGCCCCAGGAGAATTTTCAGATGCATACCTGACAGCCGCCCTTTCCCTCAGGTGGAATCGCCAGCACAGCGGCATCATCAGGTGAGTCAAGCCCCAGGAGGATTTCCGGGTGGCCAGGCGGGCGGCTGGGGAGAGCTGCGAGACGAGTGAGGACGCGGGAGAGAAGGGAAGAGCCGACCTGGTGGGATAGGGGGGGGGAGAGGGTTGGGAGAGAAGAGATGAGTGAAGACAGAAGATGGCTGTGTGGTGTCTTCAGGAGGGTGGCGAGAGACAAGGGAGAGCGATTGAGGGGTGGGTGATGATAGGAGATGCAAGAGCGCGCTGTCCGGTGTAGGGAAATATGTCTCACTGCGAATGCATGCCCACATCGCAGCTAGCAATGACTCGCCTTGGAGCCACAATCCCCACACCGCATGGGCATGCTCTTGATTGCAGCGGCCCAGCCATGTGTGCGACGGGGATGGTGGGGGGAGGGGGCGGTGGCATGAAGAAGGCGTGGAACCAAAGCGCATGTAACACCTCACCTTACATGGGAGTTTTTGAGGCGCCTCGAAAACCGCCTCAAAAACGACCTCAAAAGAAGGCGTGGAACCAAAGCGCATGTAACACCTCACCTTACATGGGGGTCCACATGATTGAAGAAGGGTTTTGAGACGGCTCAAAACCCTTCTTCAATCAAGAGAGGCGTGGAACCAAAGCGCATGTAACACCTCACCTTACATGGGAGTCCACATCCCCACCTTGGAGCACAGAGGGGTCTCTCTCTCACCTTGGAGCCACACCCCCCACAGCGCATGGGCATGCTTTTGAGTGCCAGGAGCGCTTCAGGCCCGGCCGTGTGTGCGACGGGGATGGTGGGGAGAGGGGGGCGATAGGTGGGGACTTACACGTCGACCTACACGCCTCTCTCACCTTGGAGCCACACCCCCCACAGCGCATGGGCATGCTCTTGAGCGCCAGGAGCGCTTCAGGCCCGGCCGTGTGCGCGACGGGGATGATGGGGAGAGGAGGTGATGGGTGGGAAACTACGTGTTCATCTGCAAACACCTCACCTTGGAGCCACACCCCCCACACCGCATGGGCATGCTTTTGAGTGCCAGGAGCGCTTCAGGCCCGGCCGTGTGTGCGACGGGGATGGTGGGGAGAGGAGGTGACGGCATGGCAGGTAGTTGGTTGAACTGCTGCATGAACGCCCGGTCTATGCGGTCCTGAGCGGTTGGAAGGTTTGGATGGGGGAAGGGGGGCGAGATGTCGATTACAGGTGTTTCAGTGGCCTCAAAGGGTGATGCGGCAGTTCAGCCAAAGGATGAAGGCGGGCAGTTGGCTGAACTGCCTCAGGAAGGCTCGATCGATGCGGTGCTGAGGCGGTAAAATGGTATAAAGGAAGGAGGTCCAGCTGCTTTCTCACCTTGAGCGTCCACATAATACTGTCTTCAAAGGCCAACGAGCCCCGAGAGAAGACCGCGTATTTATCACCGGTGCTGTGAGCGAGGGGATGTGAGCGAGGGGATGTGAGCGAGGGGATGTGAGCGAGGGGATGGGAGCGAGGGGATGTGAGCGAATGGCAAGGTTGTGAGACAGAGAGTTTGACTGCTTGAGAGTTTGACTGTAAATGGATATCCAAAACATACCCCCCCCACCACAAACATGCCCGACTTCGGTCCTGTTACTTGAACAACCCAGTCAATAGGCACACAGATACATGTAAACCAATGCACCCAAGGAGGTTCAAAAAGGTTTGAAGGGTTTTGAATGTTGATCCATAAGCGCTCTCTTTCGGATTCTCAGCCAGGCAGGGGCATTCCCGTCCGCACTGCAAACAACGCCAGTCTTGGCTTTGACCCCACTCAGTCGACACACACATAGGTGACTTTTGAGTCCACTCAAAAGTCACCAAACACGCCAGTCTTGGCTTTGACCCCACTCAGTCGACACACACATAGGTGACTTTTGAGTCGACTCAAAAGTCACCAAACACGCCAGTCTTGGCTTTGACCCCACTCAGTCGACACACACATACACATTCATACAAACCACCACACCTGATGAGGCTCAGAAACGTTTTCCTGCGGTTGGAAGGGTTTCAAAAGGCTGATCCAGAAGCGCTCTCCTCAAGTTTTCCGCCAAGGGCATGCCCTGCCGCACTGCAAACACGCCCGCCTTCGGCCGTGGGTAAACGTCGGATGAGTGGATATCCCCCACTGCAAACACCCTTCTATGGCTGATCGACTCTAGCGTGTCCCCCACTCGGAATGAAGCCGTTTTTGTCCAGGGCTAGACCCGTTTGGCCAAGCCAGGAGGCTGCTCCTCCCTGGGAAGCAGGGGTGTTACGTAGGAGGTTGGGGGGGTTTGGCAGGAGATGGGGCAGGCGGGAGGTGGGGGGATATGGGCAATTGACGAGTGGATATCCCCTGCGGCGAACACCCCTCTATGGCTGATCGACTCTAGTGTGTCCCCCCACTCGGATGAAGCCGTTGCTGTCGAGAGCTAGGCCTGTTTGGGCGAGCCAGGAGGCTGCACCGCCCTGGGAGGGATTGTGGGGAGCAACGAGAGAAGAGGAGTGGGATGCCTCGGTACAAGTGTAAGACAAAAGCGTAGGGAGTTAGGCCTCAATGGGGCTGGGATGTGAGACAGTAAACACGTTCCTCCCCTTTCCTCTTCACTCTCAGACTTCCTTCCTCACACTCTTACCCTCTTGCTCACTCACGCACACTAGCACACCCACCTGTGTGCACCACACACACTCGTCAAACTCCACCTCCTCTCCCCCTTCCAAGACCAGCACCCCTCCTTGCACCGCCGACTCTCTCTTTTCCCCTCCACCCGCCCGCTGCTGCTTCCCCTGCCGACCTCCCCTTCCGCCCCATCCACCGCTCCCTCTCTATCCCCTCCCTCTCCACGCTCTCCACTCCTCGTTGTCTCACTGCCACCACTGCAGCATCGAGAACCTTCATACCTGGTTCATTCATTGACGGTTGCACGCATGTGGGGTGAGGGATGGTGGATTGAATAGGATTAGATACTTAAAAGGTTATGAGCTTTCACACTGTTGTCATGGAGGGATGGTGACTAAAAAAAGCTGACTCTTGAGTCGACTTCCAAAAGTCACCTGGATGGTGACTGGATAGACAGCTGACGGTTACTTCCAGTTGATGGGCCGCAAACGGTAACACTCTTCTTGAGGAGATAAGATATCATCGCATCAAGCACCTTCACTCCCCTCCCTCGTAAACCTCCCTCACTCCTCTCGCTCACTCCTCTCCCTCACTCCTACCACACTCCTCTTCCACTCCCCCCTCACTCACTTCTCTCCTTCAAGATCCGTCGGACAATCAAATCGCATACGCGTGCGTTGTGGGTGGCAGCAGATCCCCCCTCGTTATAAAGCACAAAGAGGCATACACCTGGCTTTTCTGTATTACCAAAAAAAAAAAAAAAAAAAACCACACACACACACACACACACACACACACACACACAAACACACACACATACACACACACACAAAATATTGCAAAACGCACAAATATAAAAAACCAGAACAAACAAAAAATGAATTGCTCTTGAAGGCACTAACTGATTTCTGTAAGACTGACACAACAAAGGCAGAATCTTCAGATCATAGCCTGCAAAGGCAACGCTGTAGGGATTGGAATGGCAGAAGTTCTTAACCCCAGCTGGTTACCACTGTCCTGGTTACCACACGCTTATCTGGTTACCAGGCAGTCCTGCTGCAGTCGGTTGCTGCATGGCCAGAAGCAGCTCCACCCCTCCTGCGCCCCCTCCCACCACCACCACACGGACACTAGAGCCCTGTAAGAGAATGAGTGGTGAACGGTGGGGTTGGGTTGGGAAGGGTGCAGGACAGTGAATGTGGATGAGGCCAGTCTCCACACCCCCTGCTCTCCCTCCCACCACCATCACTCGCACGCTAGAGCCCTGATGTTCAAGGGAAAAGAGTGGTTGCTAGCTGGCTGGGTTGCATTGGGAGGGTTGCGGGACGGTGGAAATGCAAGTGAGGCAGCTCAACCCCCCTGTCGCTTCCTCTCCCACCAGGCTAAATCCCGTTAGTAAACGCACGTTGAAGCCCGTCGGCCCAGTAACAAGTGTGGAGCGCTATATTATAAAGTCAAGAGGCAGTGTTGCGTGGTGGTGGAATTGGGGAGATGCGGGGTGGATGGAGATGGGGACCTAGCTTGGATCGAGTCACACCCCCTTGTGGTGAGTCTAAGGGACTCACACTTCCTTAGACCCACCACAAACCTTCCCAGTGACTTTTGAGTCGACTCAAAAGTCACCTCGTAAAATGGGGACCTAGCTTAGATCGAGTCACACTCCCTTAGACCCACCACTAACCTTCCCAGTGCAAATTACAGGGGGGCGAGAGAGGATTCGTGACTGTAAGGCCTCCCAGCGGTGAGCGAATGAGTGGACTGTGGTTGGGGCCTCATTAAGATCCGGGTGTAACTATCAGCTCAATCTAAAAGGTTTACGACTTGGAGGAAGGTTGGTTGAAGCAACTCACAGGGGCCAGGGAGAGGAGGTTTTTGAGGTGCCTAAAAATATCCATGGGTACTGAAGCGATATATAATGATACAAAGGGGTGTTCCGAGAATTGAACTCGGGACCTCTCGCACCCTAAGCGAGAATCATGCCACTAGACCAAACACCCGCGATAGGAGAGTGAGGCGCCTTAAATTCGGTGTTTTTTGGTAATTCCTTAGGAGCCTCACATACCATTTTCATGCTGGAATCCTTCTGATCCACCTCACAGGGTGAGGGAGAGGATGCGTGACCGCAGGGCCTCCCAGCGGTGGGTGAAGGAGTCTATGGGCTTCACTGGGAGGGCGCTGCTGGTGGTGGTGCTTGATCTAATTTGATTCGATCCTCGGGGGATGCACTCTTGCACCCACACGCATGACCAACCCCCCCAGTACAACTCACAGGGGCGAGGGAGAGGATGCGTGACCGCAGAGCCTCCCAGCGGTGGGTGAAGGAGTCGATGGGCTTCACTGGGAGGGTGAGCTCCTTTGCTCCTGGCACTGATTGCTGCTCAGACGGATGGAGAGAGGGGATGGGAGTGGGGCGGAGTGTCAAGACACAGGTCGTCGTAACAAATGGGCAGGCATGCGCCCATCCACCAGCCAGCACCACAGCACGCACGCTGATCCAAGTACATGGAAATCGCTTTTGATAATTCTCAAAAGCGATTCCCATCCGCCAGCACCACAGCTCGCTGATCCAAGTCCAGGCCCGAGGCGCAGCAGTGCAGCAGCGGATGTTGGTAGTGCGTACGTGAGGTGACAGGATACCAGTGATGTCAATGGAAAGCACGTCGTAGCGAATAGGAGGACGCCCATCCGCCAGCACCACAGCTCTCTGCTCCACCAGTCCAGGCCAGAGGCACAGCAGTGCAGCAGCGGTTACCAGAGAGGTGACACTAGTCATGACGTGACGGCATACCAGTGGAGTGATCCCGATATCAATGGACAGTACGTCGT